AAGGCCAGTTCCAGACCCCACAGGTCTGGTACCACAGCAGACACCATCATCATTCCTTCCTCCATTTATAGCTGTTGGTACAATTTCTTCTATTCTGAGATGCAGCTAAAAGCACAGTTACCTTTTCTCCTATTGCATTGCTACGTGGGCCCTTGGTATCTTCACATAGAGCACAGAGGGAAAACAGTGATGGTTGGACTGTGTGGTTTCTAATATCAAGGGATTCCTCCAATTTCCTGGTGATGGTAGGAAAATAACCCTAATTGCATTCAGTGATGTGCCAAATACCAACATTTGTGGAAGGACATGGCCATATCTTCCCCTGCCTTTTCCACTGGATGCCCACAAATGGCATAGAAGACAACTAAATGAGGCCACAAATTTATCAATTTAGCTCTAGCTGGACCCCATATACATGTCCATTCTTTTTTGGATTACAGAAATACTTTTCCCACTTAATCTTGGATTTTCTCCTGGAATTTTGGATTAATAGCCCCAGGGGGCCTGTTTATGTGCAGATACATTTGGGAACAGCTGGAAAGCACTTAGAGAAAAGCCTTGGTGCAGCCTTCCAGAGCAGTGCATCTGTTTTGTTCTTCCCTTCCTGCACATGCCTGATCACTCTTTCCCAACACTCTTTGTTTTCTATCACTTCATACTAGCACATGCTCACCTACATTTCGTTGTCTTCCCCCCCACCAGTTGAAGTCCTCCCCTGCACAGTCATCTCCTGCTGAAAATTAATTTCCTACTGATAGCTCCATTTAAGGCAAGGTTCTCTTTCACTCTCCCATTTCTACATAGAAGTAGGCCCTCTCTGATAGAGAAAATTCAAATAGCTCCTCCTACACTTCCAGCAGCCTTTCATGATGTTCAAGCTACTATTTACATTCAAATTTTGGAGTCTAACTAAAAGCAGTCACATCAGGCTAACAACCAGATGTGCAGCCACTGACTGTTTTAATGGCTTCTCTCTCCTTGGCTCATATTGGGAATCTTCTTTCAAGCAGGCAAGCATAAACCCCAAGTAAACAACATGAGATAGGCTTTGTACCTACAAACATCAAATTCCCAGTCCCCAACCACTCTTTAACATTGTCAAAATGCTCACTCTACGATACACTGTAATTCTAGTAGAAAGAAGGAAATGCGTAGATTAAAATTATACGGATTATGCCCTATACAGTGAACAATCAAAGATTTCAAAACAGTAGCAATTTCACTCATATTTAGAAGCTCCAACCAAAAAAAATTACATGCCATGAAAATTCTCAACAAAGACTTGCATGTAGTTCACATAATTGAGGAAGTACTAATAATAGCGTGTCTGTTTGCACAGGCAACATTTCCACTGTGGGCCTGAATTCTGATCTCAAACATGCAGAAGATATTTTGTTGTGTGTTGCTGGCTGGAGACACAAAGTATTGGAAATCATCTCAGTGTGCTGCAATGTGCAGCCAGCCTATGCCGCTAAGGAAGCACTACACACATCCATGCCACGCTGGAAACAAAGCATCTATTGAGCACTGCAGAAGGTGCTTGTGTTGTGGGGTTTTGTGAGGAACATAAAGAAGCACAGGAAATTAACCTGTGTTGCAGTTTTAGACAAAAATGAAAGCCCTTGCACTTCAGCATCAACTGTCAGTCATCATATAAAAATAACTTGTCCTGACAGATGAAAAGTATATTTCTAAGCTCCTCCGACACAAGCACACTCAGTTCACAGCTACAGCTTCTCTTTCTGGCCTATGCTGTGTATGTTCAGGCCTGCTCAGGTCTCCAGATAAGTGATGTTCATACCCTTGCTTCTAACAGTGGCCATTAAAGGTTTTACCCCAGAAGTGCACATATAGTAGCAGCAAGGGAGCCTCACATTTCTAAAGCTTTATTCTTTTTAAAGTCTCTAAATGAGCTGTATGTAGACCTACCATAAAGTATTTGCAAAATATTTTTGTTAGATGGTACTTACTATTAAGTATTTCTTGCATGTGCTGACGATAACCCAGAATAATTTCATAAACTAAAATTTAGACTACTATATAGGAGAATAATCAACAAGAATGATTAAGGATGATTAATAATAACCAATATATAGCAGAAGTTATCTTACATGCAACATGCACACATGGTAAGCCCACATTTGAGATAAGACAGTTCTTCATTTAAACTCCTCAGTTGGAAATTCAGACCAGTAATTAAGTCATAATCCTATACAATCAACTCACACATTATCAGTAGTTTTGTGCACGGAATAAGCCGTAAGAACAAGCTATTAGGTCCACATAAAAGGCATTTATAATTCTAAGCACCAAAATAAGCACACAAACACCAGAGCTTAAAAGTCTGTTGCTCTTTTAGTAGTAGACATTAGTTGTCATTATCAGTAATATAATCACTCTCAATAAAAACACACAGAGCAAGGTTTGCTTTTAAACAACTCCAACCTTGCCCACTCTGTTGGAATTAATCAAAAATACAGAAGATGCTTATCCTTGAGTAAAAGACACCACAGAAAGATCATATGCCAGTCACACCCCTCCAGATCTGCCACGACACGGTCGTTCCATAGCTTGGGCTGCTTCCCAGTCCTTGCGTGTATTTGGGCCGACAATGCTGTCTGTGTAAGGACTGCTGTCCCCTCACCGACCCCACAGTCATCTGAAAGGCAGTGCAGAGGCCAGATCCAGCCAAGAGCCACTTCCATCCAACTTGCCGCCTTTCCGCTCAGGGGCTGGCTGGGAGACCGTAGACAAGACGCAACAGTTCTTACTGGCAACACACAAAGTCCAGCTCGTGCCACATGCCAGACAGTCCTGCCAGCCGCTGTCATCTTCTTACACCAGCTAAATACCTCACCAGGTAGTCCCAGGCCACATCCCTGCACCTGAGCACATGCCAGACCACAGCAACAACCGCCAACTCCAATATCTGCCTTAGCCTATGCAAAGAATCCAACACAAAGTGCAAAAGGGTGCCCTGTCAGAGAACATCCTGATATGTGAACGCATCTTGGAATGGACAACAAGACTATAGCGCTTAAAGTCAGGATTCCATCAAAGCAAGGCTTTATTCTGCATCCTTATTGCTTACAGGCTATATAAACAACCTTTTCACACACGAGTGATCCCACCCTACCTTCCGTAAGTGAACACAGGGAAATTTAGTCATTTCAAATCCGTGGATGATTTGCAGAATCACACCATCAGCAAGGACTCAGTTTACATCCTATTACTCTAAGGAAAAAGCTCCTAAGGGGCATTTCTCCCCACCTCTCTCTGTAGATCAAGAAGTGCTCCTAATGTTCATAACTTCACCAGGTGCTGATCAGCACTAGTTAAGAAGTCTGGTGAATGGAGACTTCCTTGCATCAGCTTTCACATTCACAGGTACACCTAAAGTCACAAATGAGACTGTTGTCTTCTCAGTTTTCAGTAATGACACCAGGAGCTGGGGAGCTCCTACCTAAAATTACGAGCCACACCAGAATCTGCAGATCTGTGTCCTCCTGTTGATGGGAACTCCGATACCATTGCGGATGACAGGACCTACCCAAGGATCTGCAGCTGGGTCCCAAGATGATGAGTTCATAAATATAACTACATGTAATTGAGGAGAGGGTCTATTTTTTTTTCCATGTTATTATTAATCATACTAGACACCAATTAAGACCCTGGCTTAGAAAATGTTAGAAGTAGATCATTATGTCACAAGATTCAGTTTGAGAAGAAAAACTACAAACCATAGAGGTCATGGTAGACAGATCCTGCAAGGCTATACCCAAGGACAATCCAGGCCTGCTCTGAGCTTTTCCAAAATGCTGGAGTACTTTGATACCCAATTCAGTTTTAGCTCTTATTTAGAAGATATTTTTAAGCCTAGGCTTGGTACAACAACAGAGATGGAATGACAAAACACTGCAAGGTACCTCAAACTGAAAGACACAAAAGGAGAAGGAAGCAAAGGTTTACAGTAGTCATTGGCTCCAATTACAAGCCAGCACCAGTGTAAGACAGGGGGAAAAAAATAGTTCAACTAAAGCAGTGGTACAGTTCTGTTCTGCAGCTCTCAGGCAGAACTGTCACCAAAAATTACTGAGCACCTTGGTCCATCCCAATACACATTCACACTTCTGTAGCAGAAACTGTTGAGGCAGAGAGGCCAAGGAGGTACATCTGGAATCAAAAGTTCAAGAAACCCCAAAACATTAGCGTTTGCAGCAGTCATGAAGTGTTCCTGCGGGAACACCAGGAATCTATCAGCTGAAAGAAGCACGGGGTGAAAGTCTACGCCAGCACGCTGTCAGTGGGTCACCTGGCAAGCGATTCTGATTTACATCACTGAAAAGTGTTCTTGGAAGAACATCCTGAAACACACCTGGGAACAGAACAGGGCCTCAAACCCAAGTGTGCAGGCAAAGTCCTCCTGCTGCCTTGCATCGCCAGGTCTGCTCACTCCGCACAGGGCAGGATTTTCCCGTGGAAACTCCACACTGACCCTGAAGGCTGTAACCCAGCGGGTGATGTGCACCACCGTCACGGACAGTGCGCAAATAACCTATTACTAATTAACCAGCAGCGACACGAGGACGGCAGGCTACAACGCTGGGGAGACGGGAGCCGTCTCTATTCTACCTAAGGCAGCTTTTAGCGGGGTAAACAACCGGGGCAGCCTCACGCCCCGACAGGAGCCACGCGGCTGTACCGCAGGGTCTCACCCTGCCCCATCCCCGCTGCGGCCGGGCGGGGCTCAGACCCCCGGGGGGGACAGGCGGGGAGAGCCGGCGGAAGCCGAGGCCGCGGGGATCCCGCCCCAGGTGAGCGCCGCGGCCCCCCCAGCCTCCCCTGCCCTCCCCGGGCGGCACCGGCGGAGCCGCTGCGGGACAAAGCCCCAGCTCTGGCCGCACACCTGCCCCGCCGGCCGCCCGCTCCCCGCAGCGCGGCGGGGCAGCCCCGGCGGGGGCAGGTGCGGCAGACCCCCGCCTCCCGCACGGCGGTCTCACCTCGGCCGGCAGCAGCAGCAGCAGCAGGAGGCAGGGCAGGGGCAGCGGCAGCCGCCTCATGGTGGCGGAGAGCGCTCCCCGCTGCGCGCACGGCCGCTCAGCCCGACGCCGCCTCCGCCGGAGACATGGCCGGGCTGCCGCCCCGCACCGCCCGGCGCCCCGGCCCTCCCCCGCGCCCCGCCCGCCGCCGCTCCCTCCAGCGCTGCCCGCCCCAAGGAAAGGCGGGGGCACGGGAGCCGCGGGGGAAGCCGTGCGCGGGGCGGAGTGAGGGGGCGAGCGGGACAGCGGCTGCTGGAGAGCCGAGCCGGTCACCTCCCTCCGCCGCTGCTTCTCGCCTCCTCCCGCCGGCTCCTCGCCCAGGGCTTAAATGGCCGTCTTGCAGCGGGCGGAGGGTCTGCGGCTGGCCCTTCCCCGCCTTCACCCCTCCCTCTCTCCCGCCCGGCATCTGACATTTCCCCCCAGCAGGGCGGGCGAGGAAGTGGTTCCCTTCGAAAGTTTCCCGGCCTCGGTGCGCACCCCCAGAGGGAGCCTCGGCGCGGGGAGCGCCCTGGCCCTCGGACGATGCCCGGGGGCGGACGATCTGCGAGAGGGTCGGCGGTAACACGAGGTTAACCCGTGTTAACCTCCCTCCCTCCCTCCCTCTCTCCCGCTCCGGCGGGAGCGCTCCGCACAGGGCCCCCGGCGGGGTAAGGGGCAAATGAGCCCGGCCGAGGGGATCGTGGGTTTGCTGCAGTGAGTGGCTCCATTTGTTGCGCCATCCATCACCCCCAGGCAGTCCCCCCAAAAATGTCCTCTCCCTCTCTAGGCACTGTTTTGGACATGTTTTATCCTTGTCATCAAAAGGGACATGACATCATCAAATGCAATTAGTTTTATAACCTTAACTTACTTCCCATGCTTAATACGCTGTTTCACATTTCATTCATCTTGGAGAAAGGAAAAGGAGAGGCAGGGACAGTTTACAGAGCCTATCTTTAATTACGGAAACACTGGCAGTCGTCATTTTCTCAAAAGTTTTGAGCTCACATGTTTGTAATTTCCCTGTCTTTTCTGAGCCCTCAAAACATATGCATAGCATTAAGGAAGCAACTATTTCAACAGGAGTTCATGAGAAGACTCAGAAGAAGGAGGACATTGGGGTTGTTCAGTCTGGAAAAGAAGACTCCAGAGGGACCATATTACAGCCTTTCAGTATTTAAAATGGGTTTATAAGAAAGATGGGAACAGACCTTTTAGCAGAGCCTGTTGTGATAGGACAAGAGGTAATTTTTATAAACTAAAAGACAGTCAATTCAGACTAGATATAAGGAAGAAAAGTTTTACAATGAGCATGGTGAATCACTGGAACAGCTTGCCCAGAGCAGTTGTAGATGTACCATCCCTGGAAAAATTAAAGGTCAGGTTGTACGGAGCTCTGAGCATCCCAATGAAGATCGCAGGGGAGTTGAACTAGATCACCTTTAAAGGTCCCTTCCAACCCAAACTGTTCTATGGTTCTCTGAAGGCACAGAGATACCTTACTGTTTGGGAAGTTGAGACTTATAGCTGGAGTTAAACAGTGTAGGGCACCCCTTCATATCAATAAGATTTGTAGGAAATAATTAATTACTTCAGAAAAGTATTTTTTAAATACTAGGGAGTATACACTATACAAAAAGAATGAATAAAACCACCTTTTCATCACTTTCCATTCAGTGCAAAGCACCTGAGAATTGTTTTCCAGCTGAAGATTCCTCCTGGTAAACCACACAGCTGACAGAAGTCTCACCAGCTGCAGTGCTGACATAAACCTATCATTTGGAAATTACAGCTCTGACTCCTAAAAGAAATCCCTTGTAGCTGTTCCCTGTGCCTGGTCAGAGCTCCAGTGGGTCTAAGCTGCCAAACTGCAGCTTCTGGCCAGGCCAGGTTCCATTGTCTGGGTTGCATCCTAAGTTCAACCGACTGCCTTCGTGGGTGACAGTGCACAGCTGAACTTGAGCAAGCACACTTGGTCATCCTTGGCTCCAGCCCAGTGAGAACAATGTGGTAGCTTTTTTAATTGCATGCCTTTTCAGTACAACAACCAGTAACTAATCCAGTTGCCCTTGAAATTCAGTGGGAATCTCTCCACTGATGTGAGCAGTAATGGCAGCCAGCTCTGAAAGAAAAAAATTCAATAAATTTAAAAAACTTGGAAAATGCACTGAGAGAGCAAGAAGTGGGGTTCTGATCTGTTCAAATTTCTAAGTATCTCCAAACTGATGTTGCCATCCCCAGACTCTAGACATCCCTGGGCTCTCAAGTTCACTCATTCTTCTCTTCTTAAGAGGCCACAGAACCCAATTTAGAAGCGACGGGCATTGTATTTCTATGTTAATTCCTTGCTCCAGAGAGCAGCTGGGCAGCTACATCACTATTACAGGAAGCTAAACTCCTTTCACCACACTGAGTCTGTCTGGATCCGGTATAACTGGTGAGGTTTTCGCATAGAAGCTACATGGAATCTGTGATTAATTACTTTCTCATTAACACTTGTGGCTGAGTGTATGTCATATGACTGCTTGTGTGTCAAGTACCTGAACCAGGAGGCCTATGAAGTTCTGGAACACACATTTCTAGAGCATCCACAATAGTTGAGGACTGCATTAAATTTGCTTGTAGAGATATCTAAGCAGAGTATTTCTAAGACTGTAGTATAAAATTACTGCCTATCTTTAATTTTAAGCATAACTGGTGCCATCAGTAGGATTTATGCACAGTAGGTTAAACTGACACACACAGAGCATAGAAGGCTTGTTACTGTTTCAGGTACCTCCCTGACTGACTGTTGCCAGATCTCAAGGAAAGGACTAACTCCTTTCCAGAGACATTTCTTGGGTGGAAGTGCTTTATCAGGGACTCTGTCTGCACTGAAGGAGTGAGCTGGGAAGATTCATTGACATTTGAATAGACTCAGATATGCTGAAAGTGGCTACAGAAAAGAGAAAAAAATGCCAAGAAACATCGGGCACTGACAGGTGTAAATATTTTGTAATATAAAATAGAATTGCAATTTCCATTTGATTTCATTGAAGGAAAAAAACTGGTAGCAATCGAACTTTTTTTCTTTTTTTATTTACAGATTCTGATGAAATGTTTGTGTCCTCCAGACTGTTTAAAATTCTGGGAGGAATGTTCCAAAAAAGCTTTTCTGATTTTGAGAGCTCCACGGAGAAAAGAATCACACATGTACCTGATTGCTTCCTTGGATCAGTGTCTCAGCTCTTTATAGGATGCTCTAGTTCACAGATAGCTGTGCAGACCTCCTGAAAGAGGTGGATCTCAAAGAGCTGTGATTCATGCCAGAATCAGACTTCACATGCTGAAAATGGAAAAGAGAAATTAAAAGCCAAATTTTTTTAAGTCTTCAAGGTGTTAATTGTTAAGCAGCAATAACCACCACAACACAAACAATTTCCTAGGAATTAGAGACTCAAGGTTGCCTTTCAGGCCACAGGCTCTTCACAGGTTGTTACTAATCTGCTGGAAGTTCCCTGAATTACAACTGCTATTGCCTTATTGTTTCTATAGCTGAGTTTTGTTTATTCTACAGGCTTTTATTAAAGCTATATGTGTGACAGGGTTATAAAACTGGGTAGGTGTTGCTCCTGGGCTAAAGCTTCTACTATACTTTCGTCTGGAAGTTAATTTTTGCATCTGAGTCATAAAACCTCTTCAAAAGGGTGCATCAGAAGTGTTTCCACATCCTTATAATCAAGTTTTTGAACAAGAGACCTAAGCTTAAAAGTCACCTTGGGCCCCTGCACACAAATGCAGAAAGAACATGCAGGCATATTACTTATGGGTGCTCTAGTTTGCACCATAAGATATACTACTTATGCTCTGGGTAGAGAAAAAGAGAAGACTGCAAAAATATGGTGACCCAAAGCTGTCCAATTTGGAGCAGTTACCCTGGCTGATAATATTTGTTTTTCACTGAGACTGGCGATAGAATATGGTTTAAAAGGAAAAGTTAAATATGGCTATATTTAACTGCATACTCCAGCCAGCCTTGATCACAATAGTGTGTTCTCATTAGTTATTCCCAGTTTCATTCATCACCTCAATGTGCAGTGTCAGCCAGAAGCATCAAATTGTTGAGCATCGTCAGGAAGGGTGTTGAGAGCAATGCAGAGAGCATTGTTTTGCCAGTGCATAAAACCCAGGTGCACCCACATCCTGACTCATGCTTCTCACTGCTCTCAGCATTGCAAGAAGGACATAATGCACTGAGGAGAGGTACTGAGAAGGGCAGTACCTCTTATCAAGGGAGCCTTAAAAAGCTGAGGATTTTCAATGAAGGGAGGAGAAGGCTCCCTGGAAATAAGATGAATGAAAAACTTGTTCAGTAAATCCCATTTAACAGTTATAGTAAAGTACTTTCTTACATGAGCTTGTAAAATATGTAGTCACGGCATGTTTTAAAGGCAAACAATATGAGCAGTTCCAAAAAGAAGGTAGACAAATTCATGGACAACATGTCCACAAACAGGGAGAAGGCAGAGATGAGTCTATAACTTTTGGATGCTGGGAATGGTACTCAGATAGGAGTCATATTTGTTTGCAGTTCCTAAACAGAATCTCCTAATGTCACTGCTGGAGACAGGATACTGGGTTGGATGGATTCATCACTGACTGAGCAAGCAGCACATTCCTTAGCTGCTTACAGCAGCAACATTCAAACCAGTACAAAGTATAAGCATAGAGCATATATAAAACAAGTGGACTACCCTTTGGCTTGCTACCTCAGCAACACAGGTAAAATGTAACAGCATAAGTTACTATTCTGATTCGCAAGGGAGGAAGCACTCTGTGCTATGATTTCAGACTGAGGTCCAGGAAGTGCTGCCTTGAAGTCGTCAGATTCAGTCATTATGGGACCTCTGTGACACACACAGAATGCCAAATGAACTTCTGTTCTGTCCAGCCTTGCTCAGTGCCCTGAAGGTATGTGGGGCCAAAGTGCTCCTTCTGGTTGACATTGCTCTGGCTCTTCTTTACACCACTTCTGATCATAAAAGAGCCCATCAGGCTTCCATGTACCCTGAACCCAGAGATGAGTCTTTTGGGAACGACTCACAAAGCAGAACTACAAGCCCCTTTTACATTGCAATAGAGGAATAAGCAGAGAATAAACTAAATTGTGCATGCACACAATGTGCAGCATTGTTGCAGGAACAAATGCAGTTCTAATACTTTTAACTAACCTTGAAATAGAAAGACTGACTAAAGGTCTTTACAGTCGAGGGATTCTTTGATTTTAATTTT